CCTTCTTTAAATAGATTTCTAAGTCTGGTAATTATGTCTAGGTTTGCTTTGTCAATAGATACGTGTGTGGTTTGCCACTTTCTCCTTAGTTTTCTTTTCTCTTTAATTAAGCTTTTTTCACTCAGAGAACAATTTATGCTTTCCTCCATATTGCCTGTTCCTGAGTAGTATTTCAGCCCATCTATTGTATGGAAGTAGTAAGATGTTGTACAGTGTTTTTAATTTGTATTTTTATTTTGCGTGGCAATTTCACATATATGGAAAATATGTAATTTACCAGTGATTGCTAAATCTGTTCTGTAGAGTAGATACAGCGAGTTAAGTTCCACAGCACTTAGGCCACAATTGACCCATTGTGCATCCTCTTAGGAAGCTGTCACCCTTAGCTTATTGTCAATCCTGCCATTTCTAGGAAGGTGGACAAAGGAGAAGTTCTACGTAGAAAGCTAACGAATGGGAAATGCGAAATTCACAAATTAAGAAACAAGACAAATGAAATAATATCACGTAGAGACGAGTTAATACAGGTCGTCGAAGAGTTTTACGAGGACTTATATAGAAGTAGACGAGAAGATAAAACAGGAATACAAACAGCCATTTCAAAGAAGATCAAGAATCAAGGTTCCGAACTAATGCCAGAGATAAAGCTAAATGAGATTCGACAAGCATTAAGAAAAATGAAAAATAACAAAGCCCCAGGAGAGGATGGAATCGTAATAGAAGCTATCATAAATGGAGGAGATATGCTATTAAATAAATTAAGGAAACTATTCAATCTATGTTTGCAGCAAAAAGAGGTGCCCAAAGAGTGGAACAATGCTACAACCATGCTTTTGCATAAAAAATGAGATAGAACGGACCTAGAAAATTATAGACGTATTAGCCTGTTGAACCACATATACAAGCTCTTCACTAGGGTAGTGACATCAAGATTGGAGAAAAAATTAGATTTTTACCAACCGAGAGAGCAGGCAAGATTCCGCTCAAATTATGGTACCAATGATCACCTCCACACAGTAAAGACACTCATTGAAAAATCTATAGAATATAACAAACCTCTTGTTCTCACTTTCATAGATTTCATAAAGCGTTCGACACGATCGAATTAGACAGCCCTATAGAAGCAATGAATGACAGCAGGATTGACCATAAGTATAGTGAGCTTATTTATAATATTTACAAAAATGCCACTATGACTGTTAAAATAAACAATAAAACCCGACCAATAAAAATAAATCGTGGAATAAGGCAAGGAGATACATTGTCGCCGAAATTATTCATAACGGCATTAGAATATGCCTTTAAGATGATCAATTGGGACCACAGAGGAGTAACGATAGACGGCGAAAAGCTTAACCATCTCCGTTTCGCAGATGACATTGTCCTTATCACAGATAATTTAGGAGAAGCTACAGATATGTTAAACGAATTGGATTTTGCATGTTCGAAGGTGGGCCTGAGAATGAACTTGACCAAAACTAAGTTTATGACAAATTTGGTCCCCAATAACCATTTAACTATTCAAGACAAAGTGGTAGAACTGGTGGAGAAATATACGTATTTGGGTCATGAAATAAGAATCAGCAGGGATAACCAAACATGTGAGATCCAAAGACGAATTACTTTAACATGGGCAGCCTTTGGAAAACTGCGAGACACACTTAGGGCCAACATACCAATCAGCCTCAAAAGAAAAGTGTTTGACCAATGCGTATTACCGGTCATAACCTATGGGGCGGAAACTATGACTTTAATCAAGATCACGAAGGCTTCGAAACTGAGAGTGGCACAGAGACGAATGGAACGGTCTATGCTGGGAGTGACGTTGAGGGACCGAATAAGAAACGAAGATCTGCGAAGAAGGACGAGTATTACTGATATTGTGGAACGCATAGCGGAACTAAAATGGAACTGGGAGGCCATGTAGCGAGAATACACGATTCACGATGGACGAGCAAAATTACAAATTGGAGGCCAAGAGCAGACAAACGCAGTAGAGGAAGACCACCTACACGTTGGGCTGACGACATCAGGCGTATCACTAAAAATTGGAAACAAAGAGCACAAAATCGTGAGGAATGGAGGAGTTTAAGGGAGGCCTATTTCCAGCAGTGGACGTGATAAATAGAGGCTGGATGATGATGATGATGATGGACAAAGGAGACATCTTCCTTATTGACCGCTAAATATTGAAGCCAAGCTTGTATACTGGCGTTGTATTACTTTTTTCTTTATAGTAAAATGCTAAGCCGAGCGTCACGAAACTAGGGGCACGACAAGGCGTTACGGGCAGCGTCAAAATATGTATTGACGTACATTGACGCACTACTCTTGATATATTATTAACTCTAAACAGGTTTAAATTAAAAACTGCATGAAAAATAACAAATACAGACATTAAATGAGAAGTAAAAAATTAAAAAAACATCTGTCAATAAAAGATTCGATTCGTAATAGTTGTTATAATTTAAATGTCATATGTGTCATCCAATTAATACCAATATTGAATTATTATCTATTAAAATTTTTATGGCACTCCTTTTAAAATAATTTTATATAAATACAATTATTATTAAAATAATTTTATTTAGTTTATACAATAATTAAATTAGTTATCAAACATTTTATTAATAATTTAATATTTTGTCTGAATTTGAAAGTTCTGTCAGAAGTAAACAGCGTACGCTTTGTTAATATGTTAGTAGATGGCGTTAGGAACAAACATAATAGTGGCGCTAGTCTATTTTATTTACTGTCTACTATATCACCTATTTTTTTATTGCTTTTTCTGTTTGATCATTCTGCTAAGAGTTTAATTAACTGTTTTGTTCCCAAAATATAGATAAATACCTTAAATAATTAGTTTTCTCTATCATAATACACTCACCGGCAAAATTAACGGAACACCTTAAAATTGGGACATGTTAGATGTCTCGAATTTCCTAAACCTGTTGTCCGATTTTAGTGATTTTTTTAGTATGTTATAGGTATATTATTTAAGAATATCGATGTAATAATATTGTTGCTAGACAGGTCCATGTCATTTTATACCGGGTGTAACAATCCTACTGTGTTTTTTCCTTAAAGTTCGGAACACCCTGTGGAATATTCTAGCATATATAAAATATTGAAATTAAAACTTAATTATAGCCTTAGGCTTTCTTAACATTTTTTTTTGATTTATTTGCTTATGTTTGATAATAAAAAAGTTAGGTACGTTAACAACTAGCCATGTTTTTCATCAATAAATCCTCATTTTCTGCTTAGTTTAAAAACAAGCCCAAAGTAGGCTATGAGAAGTTAACAATTTATTACACACACCGGCAAATTTAAAGGAACCTGTTATGAATGCAATATTTCTTTATATTTGTATTTTATAGACTATATCTACATAGCTTTGAAAGATCCTTGTCACAAGAAAGTCTTAAATGTCAAAACGTCAAATTAATTTGTTTATTTGTATTGTGTTTTACATTTTACAGTCATTCTGTCTGTTCATAACAAGTACAAACTTGTATTTAATTGAGCGCACAGTAAGAAAGAGACTTAAAGAAGCCGGTCTCAAGTCATATGTGCCAATAAAAGCTCCCAGACTCCCGAGACACCATCGTTTAGCACGACTACAATTTAGTCGAGTACATCAAAATTGGAATGATAACCACTGGAGTCAAATTCTCTTTACGGACGAGAGCCGTTTCTGTGTAAATTACATCGACGGTAGAGAAAGATTGTATCAACGCCAAGGAGAACGAAATGCCCCTTTCAATTTTACTACGACCGTACCTTTTGGTGGAGGTTCAATTATGGTGTGGGGCGGTATATGTTTGGGAGCAATAACAGAGTTAGTGGTGATTGATGATGGAGCATTAACAGCAGATAAGTATATCAGAGATATTCTCCAAGACCATGTGGTACCTTTTTCACCATATATTGGCGAAAATTTTATTTTATTGCAGGATAATGCGAGCCCACACGTCGCAGACTGTGTAAGATATTTCTTATTACAAGTGGGTATAACAACGATGAATTGGCCAGCTTGTTCCCCAGACCTAAACCCGATATAGGATATGTGGGACATGCTAGGCAGAAAACTTAGGGCACGGGTTCCTGCTATTCAAAACAGAGAAGAAGTCACAACTGATCGATAGCGTTATCAGAAGTATGAGAAGACGAATAACTGCAGTTGTAAGGGCTCTTAGGGGAAACACACGCTATTAAAGCCAAAAAAATGCATAAAAAAACAATTTAAGTTCAAACTGTACAATAAAGTTAATGCGTTTAAAATCCGTATTTTGTTGAGTCTGACATCTTTGTGTTTTATTTCTTCTTAAACAGGTTTTATATTGTACTACCATTGTAATATAAATTCAAAATACTTCACCAACATTCGTATTATGATGTTATCTAAACAGTATATAGACTAGAGAGAAAATACTCAGATTTTATGGTTGTTCCTTTAAATATGCTGGTGAAACTAAGAAGAAAATGAGCATTTATTGATGAAAAGCATGGCTAGTTATTAACGTACCTAACTTTTTTATTATCTAACACAAGCAAATGAATCAAAAAAGAAAATGTTAAGAAAGCCTGAGACTATAATAAAGCTTTAACTTCAATATTTTATGTGTGCTAGAATATTCCACAGGGTGTTTCGAACTTTAAGGAAAAAACACAGTATGATTGTTACACCCGGTATAAAATGACATTGACCTGTCTAGCAACAATATTATTTCATTGATATTCTTAAATAATATACCTATAACATACTAAAAAAATCACTAAAATCGGACAACAGGTTTAGGAAATTCGAGTCATCTAACATGTCCCATTTTTAAGGTGTTCCGTTAATTTTGCCGGTGAGTGTATATACAAATGACTATCCGCATCCGCTTTTAATAAGAAACAAGAGTTAAGAGTTTTCCATTATGTCTCCTATGTTGCGTTATGAGATTCACTACCTTAGTAATAAACAGTAAAAATAATTATCAAATACAACTTACGTTCAATTGTTGATCCGTTGAAACAGCCTTCGCTGATATTTTTGATTTTGTTATAAGACAAATCAAAGAACTCAACATCAAATCCATTTGAACATGTGCAATCCAAAACGCCGATATTATTGTTTGTGGCGTTAATTTTTTTAACACTCTTTAAATCGTTCAACATATGCATATCCCACTTCTTCAATTTGTTCTCGTATAACCACAACACGGCTAAACTGTCGAGGTTTTTCAAAGAAATACTTTCCAATTCGTTCACTTGAAGGAGAAGCACAGTCAATGTAGGGAGATTTACTGAAAGAGAAATCATTAATCAATTTAAATTGTACGGTAGCCGCGGTTGGAGTGCTTCAATGGGGCTGTCGAGGTGACACAAATAATTGAAAAATTGAAAAAGTTTTTTACGCCTACGCAGCAATACAGAAGCGTATTTGAACTTAAATTAAAGACATCTTTAAATATTCATTTGAATTCGTTTAATTAACATATAGATAAATTCTTACCTAATGAAGTTGCTTGTAGAATTTTTAGGTTGTTATTATCTAAATCCAGACGGTGTAAATTTGGCAAGTTTTGGAACGCCATTTCTTCAATTCGTTCTATTTTATTAAAATCAAGTCTAATGGAGGTAAGTTCGGCCAAATCTCTAAATAGACCTCTTTCCAATACTCTTATTTTATTCATACTTAGTACTATGTGAGTTAATCGGTGCATGCCATCAAAAGAACCGCCTATAAAAAATGTTTTAAACATATTTATACTTTACAAATGAAAGTGCATACATTGACTTGCCATTGATATAAATAAATAGAAACATAACCATTAAAGAAATGCAAATAACCTGCTACAGCTACAACGTGGATCTACACACTCTATTCGTAGACTTCAGACATGCGTATGTTATGAGTTTTTTTTTATCTTAAATCACCACATAACTGTATTAAATGGGAAGAACATTACAAAGCACTGTTAGAAGAAATAAGAACCATATAATAAACTACTCTATCGGGAAAGGTAATTATTTAGGTTTTGGAAGAGCCGATTATGATGAGAAAAAATAGACCTTCAAAATAGATCAAATCAAATTTTTTTATAGGTTATAATTACTTTGAAATAATTGAGTCCTTTAGGACAAGAATACAGGAAAAGTCTAAAAGTTGCCTTGATCACATTTTTTTTACAATCCCAGGGAATTATTATACAATATAAAGCATCAAGTCGTGGACACTTGTGTTACTGAACATAAACCGACTGTTATTTGTTAACCACTTAACCTAAAAAATAGTTATACAAAACTAAGCAGAGAATAACGCATATTCAATTATAAAGAACTAAAAAAAGGCTTAGAAACTTATGACTGGTGTGAATATAATGCGTCTAAAAATGTTAATGTCAAATGCAATTTATTATGTAAAATTCTTAACAAACTTACAGTAAAAAACAGTTATGTAAACAAACACAAAAACATGAGAAGAAGCGCCAAAGTTGGATAACTGCAGGACTGGTTAAATCCATAAACACAAAAAATCTCTTGTATCGTAAACATGTCAAAGATCCTGACAAAAAAAAATAAATATTTCAATTATAGAAAACAACAAATATATTAATAAAAAATACTAAGAAAGATTACTTTAGAAATGAAATATAGAAAAACAAGAATGTTTCCAAAAACCTGTGAAATATTGTTAAAAATTTGACATGTAAAGAAACCGAAAGAAATACTATAGAAATAGTTACACAAGAAGGAACTACTGTAGCAGATGGTGAAACTGTCTCTAAGTCTTTTGCTCGTTATTCTACAGAAATTGGAAAAACTTATGACAAGAATATAACACCACCGACATCGTAGTATTTTCCAAATTTCCAGCGTGATGCATTTTTAACGACAAATTTAAGGAAACAGTTGTAATTCGTATGTACAAGAAGTGAGATACACAAAGTTTGTCAAACTATAGACCAATCTCACTAATTACTACTTTATCAAAAATCTTTGAAAAATGTCTTAAAATCGGATCAACGTCTTTCTTTGTTAAACACATCATATTATCGTCTTCGCAGGATTTCGTGAAGGTTTATCAACAAATGACGCAATGATACTGCTTGTGTGTTTCTAGACCTGGCAAAAGCATTCGACACTGTAAGTCATCCAAAACTACTAGAAGTACTAGAAAATAGTGGAATAAGCAGCACTGCTCATAATTTACTGAAGACTTATTTGGACAACAGACAACAAATTGTTAGAATAAATAACAAAAATAAAATAAAATTAAAAAACAAATTTTCAACAATAAGAGATACAAAATTATGTAGTTATATTAATTATACAGATAGTTTCTGAAAGAAAATGTTTAGAAAAAAAATATTTATTAATATTTAAAAAAAAATATTAAAAATCATTTTAAATATTGCAAGTAAATTTTGCAAAAACATGTCGATTTTTTGCTTATAGCCGGTTAGAATAACTTTTTAACCATTAACCTTAAGAAATTTTTTTTTCATATTTAGGAAGCCTGTATTTTTTTTACAAATTTAAAAGAAAAAAGTTGACCTAGAACAATTTGGGATGAAGTTTTTTCCTTTATTTCAAACAATAGCAGCTTTGTTTATAATAACTAAGAGATATTATTAGGGTCATCTAAAAAAACATGCTTTAGAGTTTTAATTTGCAAAATTAAAAAAAAGTTGCATTTTATTGGAATTGTTCACAAAGCTTCAAAAATGTGGTCCTCAAAATCTTCCGGCTTTGAAACTTGTGGGAGCGTTGGAAGGAGAATAAGCTGTTAACTGTATGTCTGGTTCTTGTTTTTGACTTTCGACGTTTCTTTTTTTTAATTTGTATGCACTTTTTGCGCACATTAGAAATATATATTATTTCATTTATTCTTAAAAGTTTAATTCCGAAAGTGGCTGCAGACTGTAGACCGCAAACCACAGACTGCAGCAACAGTGTCCTCTGCGGTCAGACCTATTCCGAGCAGAACTGCACTGCATCTACAAAACAGCGACAACAGCATTGCACGATGGGAATTAGAATAGTATAATATTAAAAATCGTAGAAGTAGGGTGTCAGACGCAATGAACAACGATGAATTAATGTTATATCTTTTGATGGAAGAAGAAGATGACGACGATCTTTTACTTTTGCATTATAAAAAAAGGAAGCCAACTAGGCCTCTATTTAAAAATAGACAATTTGAAGGAAGTTATTCAATACTCATCAAAAATCTCATCTTCATTTAAAAAACTCATTTTCAAAAGATATTCAATGGTTTTCACCTTTCAGTCAATTTGGAAACAGCAAAAATACGTGTTGTCACTCTGCGGTCGGCAACACTACTGGTTCTGGTCCAGTCCTGCGCTCTGCGGTGGCGACGTTCTGCTTGCGGTGGCGACAGTGCCACTCTACTCGACATACAGCTCATAAGAAACCATATGAACCAGTAGGTCTGTCGCTGCGGTCTGCGGTCTGCGGTTTGCAGTTTGCAGTTTGCGGTCGTGTTCAGACTCGTACCTTAAGTGTTAAATAAACCATCTAATAATTTGTTTAAACCATTATTTTTGCAGATTTTCTTATTTGGTATTTTTTATTCTCGAATTTAGCTATTTTTCGGGGTTTGTCAGCTTTAATCCTTGATCAAGGTTGATTTTAAATAGCTTGTGCTATTTTGATTCTGTTACCTTTAAAGTTAGGTACACTCTAAAGATATTTTTAACAGTCAAACATCAGTAAATAAAAACATCGGCTTTAGAAGAAACGTAATGGGTACAAAGAAAGCATTATTTGTTCTTAATATAAATTGCACAAATACATATGGATTTGAAACAGACATTATATGTCGGTTTTCTTGATCACAAGTCATTCGCACATATAGTATTTTATTCAAGGTAACGGTTGGTAATCATCTGTCAGACTAAATAGTGATAAAACGAGTGGTAAGGCAAGGGGTACATAGTTTCTTTGCTATATTTTTAATCTGCATTCAGAAGAAATAATTCAGGAAGTACTAAAAAAAACCCCAACTGGAATTAAGGTCAACGAAGAACCTATATTATAATGTAGTTCGACTAATTATGATGAATAAAATATAAAAACGCTTGGAAATTAGTAGAAAACAAGCCTCATGGTTGAAGAATGTTAGAGAGTGGACCGATATACGACAAGTCGAACAATTGTTAAGAATACCTCAAGATATAGAAAGTCTAAAGTTAGTCTAAAAACTACACAAAAATGGAGACACAACAGACCTGACAAATTATTGACCAATTTCACAACTTTCCAATGATTATTACAAACAGGTTAACAATTAAATTTGACTGATATCAACCAGTGTAACAAGCCGGATTTAGAAAAGAGTACAGCACATGTGACCATCTATATACTTTGAAAATCCCAATAGATAAGACCAACGAATACAATCTCCCATTATGTCTGGCTTTCATAGATTATAAAAAATCTTTTGATAATGTAGAACTGTACGCAATAGAAGAAGCATTAGTCAAAACCGGATTAACTCCAGGTATAGAATATTAATACATAATATCTACAAGCTGAAATGATAGTGACGTTGGATATTGGAATCGAAACAAAACCAGTAAAAATCAACCGAGGCGTAAGTCAAAGATACATAATATCTCCAAAATTATTTACAGATGCCCTAGAAGATATCTTTAAGTCAATAGAATGGAAAAATAAGGGAATCTATAATAACGGAAGATACTTGAACCATCTTGGATACTTAGATGTGTAGTACTAATAGTCGACACGTGGAATGCGCTGAATGCGATGATTGAACAGCTACACAGATAATCCCTAAAAAAAGGGCTAAAAATGAATTTCAGCAAAACAAAGATAATAAATCTATGATAGAACATGCATAAACATATTTGGGTCAAAATGTCAAGGTCAGGGAAGAAAATAAGACTACCGAAATAAGCAAAGCTATAAAAATGGGATGGGCAGCATTCAGCAGACTCTAATATGTACTTAAAAATAAAAATATACCTCAAAAACTTCGAACCAAAGTGTTTAATGTTTGTATCCTAACTGTACTTACATATGGAGCTCAAATATGAACGTTTACTAAAATAAACGAAGCACGAAGATATTAAAAGAAGTTCAGGGCCAATGTGAAAATGTCTCACAAACACCAGAGATGAATGTCGAGATTTGAGAGAGGCTTCTATTCGGTAATCCGAATATAGAGAAGTGCTTAAAAAACAGCCTAGAGGTTCTTACAGAGGCAGGAGAATCTAATAATATCAAAATCAAACATGGGACCAAACAGGGATGTATATTGTCAACCCTGTTCTTCAACATATTCTCTGAGAAAAACTTTCAAGAAGAAATAGAGAATGTTGAAGCCGTATCAATAAGATCAGATACGCGGATGATGCGGTGGTATTCGCTGACAGTTATAAAACCCTCTAGAACTCAATGAATAGTACCACATAAATAAGTCAAAGATATAGACTTTCACTTAACGTTAAGAAAATAACAGATATGACGATCTTTAAGAAAGAGCAGCAATTTAAACAAATCAGTGTGAACGCCCAACAAATAGAAAGAGTAAAAATATGTACCTACTTGGTAAGAACGTCAATAAGAAGGATCTACTTTTAAACAAATGGCTAAGCTATTCAAATGTCATGATTTAACAATACCCATAAAAGTATAACTATTACAATGTTATATCTACATGATGAATCTACATATGAATCCTACAGATATTTTCTACCGACCAGGACGTCTTACCAATTAGCACGTATTATTTGGAATAAAAAAAGGAGATATTAACCACAATGAAAACAGCCATATTGAATACCACCATCAACATGTCTTGAATGTTTTGAAAACAGTTAAAAAACAGTAGGTCTTGAATACAACTAAATTAAGAAAATTGCAGTATCTGGGCTTTATCATAAAAGCAGGGAGATATGTGTTACTGCAAATCATTACATAGGAAAAATAACTGGGCAGAAGAAGCATCGGAAGAGGACATATATTCTGGTTAAATAATTCGAAACAATGGTAATAACTTTATTATATTATTAGCCAACCTTATTAACGAAGGCGGCAATTAAAGATGAAGAAAGAAGAAGTTCGAACTCTATGTACTTCAAACTTATAAGAAAACTAACTGAAATAATTAGTTCTTCAAGTAAAACTACGACACATGGATTGAATACCTAAAGAAGCTTTATAATGATGAACAGTAAATGATGTTAGAACCAGAAACACCAGAAATCATTACAAACAAGGAAGTCGAGATAACCGTACAAGAAGTAAAACAAACTTTAGAAAAACTGAAGAACAGAAAAGCTGCAGGTAAAGATGGAATTCCAAATGAATTATTGAAATATGTTGGAGAAGCATTAACAGAACAGCTAACAGCACTAATTAACAAAATCATCAAACATAATAAAATACCTGAAGAGTGGAAGAAAAGCGAGCTTATCCTACTATACAAAAAAGGAGATAAAAAACAACCTGAAAACTACAGAGGTATCAACTTATTAAACACCACTTTGAAGCTTACAGCCAAAATATTGCAAGGCCAAATAAATCAGAGAATTACCTTAGCGGATAAACAGCAGGGTTTTCGCACAGGAAGATCGTGCACAGATGCAGTATTCGTCATAAAACAAATTACCGAGAAAGCACTAGAGTATAACAGACCAGCATTCATATGTCTAATAGACCTGAAGAAAGCGTTCGATGAAGTAAAGCTTAAAGATGTAATTCACCTTCTTAACGATAGAGAAATTCCACTAGATGTTATAAAAACACTAGAGAACATTTACCAGAACAACAATATGGAAGTCAGAATAGATGACCAGTTTACAGATCCAATAGATATGGGCAATGGAATAAGACAAGGAGACTCGCTTAGTCCAACGCTATTCAATCTAATCATGGATGAAATCATCAATACTATTAATAAAGGAAGAGGATACAAAATGGGGAACAAAGAAATCAGAATACTCTGCTATGCAGATGATGCGGCCCTAATTGCATCCAATTAAGACGATCTACAAAGACTAACCCATAGATTCAACAGAAGGGCAAAGGACTTTAATATGGTGATCTCTGCACAGAAAACTAAAACAATTGTAATCAGTAAAGAACCAATTAGATGTAAACTGGAAATCAACGGTATCAGCATTGAGCAAGTAATGGAAACAAATTACCTAGGAATTACACTGTCAAGCTACGGAGATGTGGAAAAGGAAGTGAAAAATCAAGTACAAAAGGCTAATAAAATAGCAGGTTGTCTTAATAACACGATATGGCGCAATCCCCACATTAATACCGACGGGAAATCAAGAATCTACAAAGCTACAATAAGACCAATAATGACATACACTTCAGAGACAAGACCGGATACCTCCAAAACTCAGCAACTACTAGAAACAGCGGAGATGCGTTTACTGAGGAGAATTACAGGAAACAGACTGAGGGATCGAATGAGGAGTGAAGAGATCAGAAGAAATGCAATATACCAGAAATAAATGAGTGGACACTGAACAGAAAAAAGGAATGGAACGAACACATAAACAGAATGGAAGAGACCCGATTAGTCAGAATAGCGAGGGACAAATCACCAAAAGGTAGAAGAACTATCGGGCGACCACGCAAAAGATGGAGTGATAACCTCCAATAGAGGCTTAATCGACATTGAACAAGCATTTTGCTTATAAAAAAGAAGAATAAGAAGAAGAAGTAAAACTAGGAATAAATATAGAGGAATACGATACTAACCTTCAATAACCTTTATTTTATTGTCATCCAAATACAACTTGGTAATCGGCAAATTATTAAAGATCCCTTTCCTAATAGACTTCAGGAGGTTCGCCCCTACTGTTAAAGTTTCCAATCTCTTAAGATCATTAAACGCACCAGGTTCGAACTCCTTCAAATCAGTATCGACTATGGCCAGGTGTGACGTGTTCAAATTTTGAAAAGCGTTTCCGTAAACAATAGGAAGAACTTGATGTTCAATTTTGATGGCATCGTAGATGTCTGGATTATAATTCTTGATGCTGCTTGGAAGATTCTTTGTTGTTATTACGACTTGCTCACTTAGATCTTGTTGCTTCTTAGAACTTAGCGTGATTTTAACATTCACAAACGTAGTTTTTTCCGAAACAACACTTAAAACGCATAAGAACAACAGAAAAACGTATGCCATCTTAACAAATATTAATACAATTCTATATTTCACTTAAAACGTTGTTTGTTTTAACACTATACGTATCTACATGGTGCTGACCTTAAGATCAGTCTCTATCATCGCAGACTACCGGTTGGCAAGTTCAAAATCAGTATTTGTTTTATTTTTTACAATCTTTCATAACTTGTTGAAACAAAATAATTGATATGCAATGTACTAGTAATCGCTATTTATTATTGTTACTAAAACCTTGCGAAGATAACCATAGCAATTAATTTGTGATATCGAAAAGATTTTTTCCAAAAGATTTTCTTTCCATGAATTAATATCTCTAATAAATATGATGTCATTGAGATTTGGTACAAACACTACGCAGAATTTACGATATAGTTTTGTTTAGTAATTATTTTTATTGTCTATCTGTTACATCTCACTTTTTTGATAGCTATATTGTGGAAACTATATTACATAAATTGCTAAATAGAATTTTATGTCGATAGTCTATTCAATGGTATACTGTTTCGTAGTTTAGTGTAAAACCGGTGCAGTGGGCAGTGTACGTCTAGAGAAGTAATAGAATTTTGTGACTTGTTAGTAATTGTTTTATAATAGTACTTCTCCGCTAATCGCCAGGAAATTTTGACATTCCTGTCAAAATTTCTTGAAGAAAAGGTCAGGACTTCCTTACTGTAAGGAAATGTCATTACCTTACTGTAAGGAAATGATATTTCCGTACAGTTGTTAGTGTTCTATATAAATGATAGAAAACACATTGCTTATAAGGAATTAATTTATATTTTGAAAACATCAAGTCATTGCTGAATACATTTTTAAGATCAATTTGATATATTTACAGTAATTTGACAGTTAGTACACTTATTGAACATTGGAGGAACATTCTTAGAACTATGAGAATCATTTTGGACAACATGCAGGGTGGAAGTGTCATTTTGTTGAATATTTTGTACTGTGAAAATTTTATTTGCCACCTCAACCTTATTGTTAAGCGATTCTTCGATATATCCTTCAGCAACGTTTGATGACTTCCATCCGCCATGCCTCTTTAAACTAGTTATGTCGGCACCAGAGTCAACCAATATTGTTGCAGAAGACCGACGAAAGCAGTGACCAGTATATTCTGTCGGATTTACCAAGTTCAAATAAGTAGCAATTATTTTGGGCATTTTTCTAAATTGATGAATTCCTACCACTTGTCTACAACCCTTTCCGCTTTGATATTTAAAGAAAAATCGGTCACTGTTCATATTTTCTGGTCTTAACGAAACATACCTTCGATAAACATTCAAGTAGATCTGATTAATTACAAATGATCTTGGTTTGTTGGTTTTCGAATCAGGTATGCTGATTAAAAGCTTAGATTCTAAGTCTTCTATATCGTGTACAGTCATTCGGACTAACTCATCCATTCTACAGGCCCCAGAATTACCAAATGTTACAGCCACCTAAAAAATAAATAAAGCTATAATCTAAATAGAAATTAAAACCTTGTAAATTACCTTAATCATTAAATTTTCTTTATCTGGAGCTTCTTGGATAAATTTTTCAATTTCTTCCTTCGTTAAAATCTTAGATTTCTTTGCCCTATAACCTTTAGCTTGCCGTTTCAATAAAGAACGAAGTTTTGAGTATGTAGATATATCTACATTGTGTTTAAGTGCAAGGGTTGACTTCAGCATTGAATAATTGGCCCATAATGTTGAAGATTTCATCTTTAAACAAAGGTCTAGGAAATATGCCATTACAACATTTTCTGAGAAAGAACTCGTATTTTTACTCATGCGATAATCCATAAAACGTCTGTATGCATTTTCGTACTTTTCTCTTGATTTCTTTGGCAATAATTCTAATGAAGCAGTATTCACTGCCTCAACCAGCTCTGGAGGAGTCCCAGGAATGAAAATTTCATCATCACTTATCATTTTACTTTCGAGAACACCAGCAATTAAATTTATAAGCGTCAAGTTTGACAATTCAACCTCAATACGTTTCCATAGTAACCCAAGTAAATCAATCAATATCTGTCGAATTTTAAACGATTTGCGGAAAAATAGTATGTTTACCTCGTAGGAAAAGCCACATTCCTGGACTCTGTGTTGCTAAGTCTCGGCTTGCGCCTCGACTTAGCAATCTTCACAGTCGTCCAGGAATGTTAAGCTTTTCCTACCCGGTAAACAATGTACTATTATCTTTTAGATATTATGGATTATAAAAAGAGCAAAAAAGATTGTTAGCACTTTTTGAACAAAGTTTTGACGGGTGATGAGTATGATGATGAAGAGGAATCGGTAGGAAAACATCATGTAGAAAAAACTTGAAGCAAAGCGATACAAAACAGAAAATTGAAGAATTAGATGATTAGACAGATTCTTCCAATTGTCCATATTTTTTGGGCAAAGATAATAAAAAAAATTGCCTAATCATATTGTCCCTACAAACGCCACAACTCGAAGTGAAAATTTTATTCTGCAGCTTCTAGGTTCAAAAGAATGTGTCAAAAAAACCGATATTTTAGATATCTGAAACAATCTATTTAATACTAATGTCTTTATCGATTTATACAGCCCTTTCTATCCAATTTTGGACGTAGGCCTCCTCTTCCTTCTTTCACGTCTCTCTATTGTAGGCAGTTTATGTCCACTTCGGCCCTGCGTGTTTCTTCAAGTCATCTGACCATCTCATTTGTGGACTTCCTCTTTTTCTTTTGTAACTATATGGTCTCCAGTGAATAATCATCTTATTCCATCTGTCCTCTTTCTGTCTTATGGTATGTCCAGAGAACTTCCACTTAAGTTTTGCTATCTGCCTTGATACATCGGTAACTTTTGTTTTGTTGCGGATCCAAGTATTTTTTTTCTTGTCTGATAGCCTGATGTTCAGCATTTGTCTTTCCATGGCTTTTTGAGTCTTTGCTATTTTTCCATGTTTTCCTTTGAAAACGTTTGAGAACCGTAGGTGACATAGGAAGTATATATTGGTTGAAGACTCTTGTTTTTAAATATTGGGGGTATTTACTATTTTTTAGTATGTAGGAAAGTTTTCCGAAGGATACCCAAGCCAAGTGTATCCTTCTCTTTATTTCTCTGGTCTGATTTTCTTTATTTAATTTAACTAGTTGTCCGAAATATACATATTCTTTTACTTGCTCTATAGTTGTTTGTGCAATTGTAATTATTAATTCTTCTGGTTGGTTGGTCATAACTTTTGTTTTATTATAATTCATTCGTAGACCTATTTTTGTTAATTCGATATTAAATTCATCCATCATTTTTTGTAATTCTTCCCTTTTATCTGTTATTAATATAATGTCGTCTGCATATCTCAAGTGATTCAAGAATTGGCCATTTATGTTAATACCCCGTTTTTCCCAGTAATTTCCTCATAACGTCTTTCAAAGCTTGATTGAATAGTTTGAGTGATATAGTGTCACCCTGTCTGACTCCTCGCCGTATCTTAATAGGCTCCGTTTGTTCAACTATTTTAATGGATGTTGTTGATTGATCAAATATATTGAAAAATAAGTCCGTATATCTATAGTCTATTCTCCCATTTTGTAAAGAGTTCTTCACTGCCCAATGTTCCACCTTATCGAATGCTTTTTCAAAGTCTACAAATGCCATATACATTGGTATTTGATATTCGTTGGCCTTTTCAATTAATATTGTTATCGTAAGCAGATGGTCACTTGTACTGAATCCTTTTCTAAAAACGGTTAATCTGTTTGTTAGTAGTTTAGTTAACAGTTTGTACATTACATTAAGTAGAGTTATGGGCCTATAGTCATATAGTTTTTCAGATCTTTTCTATTGTCTTTCTTAAATAGTAATAGTGTTATTGACTCGTATCATCTGGTGGGTATTTGTTTTGTGTTCAATATTTTATTCATTAGTACATAAAGGACTTTCACTGTAGTTTTCCCCCCATTTTTTAGCATTTCCACAGTTATTCCATCTCTCCCAGGAGATTTGTTATTCTTCATTTCTTTGAGTGCCTTTTTAATTTAATTTGTACTGATTTCTGGTTGTAGGTCAGAGTTAACGTTCTTTATTTTCAGTTTTAACTGATTAGGGATTTCTTGGGTTGGTGTTTGTTCTGTTTTATAGAGATTTGTATAATATTCGTGCGTTATCTGTAAAATTTCTTTTATATTGTTGGTCTCCACTCCTTCTTTGTTCTTCATGCTATTATTTTGTATATCTCCCAGGTTATGCTTTAAGCACTTCATGTTTCTATTTTTTTCAATTGTTTTCTCTATCTTTACTACCTGTTCTCTCCGTTTACACCCCTCGATATTTTTTCTGATAGTTTTGTTTATTTCTTTGTATTTCATTTTATTTCTGTCTACAGATTGAACGAAATAAATTCGGAACATACGAAATATTATGTATTTCGGCTCAATTCTCCTGTAGGTGGTTGTCCAACAAAAGGTTGTCAAATAATTATCTTATAAAAATCCAATACTTCAGCGGGCTGCTGGATTCTGAACTAATTCGAGAACTCATTCATAGGTGGTCAAACTACCTATCGCTTTCTAAAGCCGGCCACTCACGGTACAGCGGTATCGTTCGACATAATCGGACAGAGGTGTTGTTCAATTTGTTGGTATATCTGGTGCGCCCACACACCATACGGCGCCGCAGTATTTGTTCGGTTCTCGACTATTTCAAATCAAACAATCATTTTAGCGTCTCTTACTTTATGTATAAATTCTTTGTGTATAGATTCTGGTTCAAATAATCCAAGATTTTGGTGCAAAATAAATCTCGTTTGCCTATGCACCCGATTTACTGGACTGCACTGCTAATTTTAATTCTCTTTTATAGAATGTTCTAAAATTGTTAATTTTCTTTTTCTTACATACTCTTCATTCACATCTTTGTTTACTTCTTGGAACTTTAAAACTAGAATGTCAATTGCCTGTTTTCGGGCGTTCCTATCGTGATACGTTTTACCTTTTATTCGCTATAGCATTCTTGTTTTTTATATAATTTAAAAAACTCTTTTAAAAAATTCTCGCTAAATCAGGCCATTTCGATTTTCTATGATATGATGAAAGCAAGTGTTTAGTTAAAAACGAAGTTGAACAACGCCGCTGTATCGTGAGTGGCCGCCTT